CCCCCCCCCCCCCCCCCCTAACTGGTCCACTGGTCCTTCATCCCAACGGCTTTTACGTTTACGGGTCTTTGCCCCAATAGGCACTAAATGAGGGGTACTACAAGCTACTACTTCTGCTGCTGCTGCTGCTTCTTCTTCTGAAGATTCTCTAGTAGTGGATTCAAGCTTATTATTATCCATGCAGCTGTTTTTTCTGTGTAGTGGCTTGGCTATCCACCTATCTCTAAAGTTTCTTGCAATTTGATGAACCTGGGCCCCATAGAACAAAGAGGAAAATGTATTGGTCAGTGGGATATTTGCAAATTAAGGGAGGGTAAGTTTTAAAACAGATTACCTATTTGTCTATGTGATCTGTCAATGCTAAGATTGACTCTCTAAAGCTGCAGAGTATAAGTTGTGGTCATGTAATTAGCATCTGGTGTTTATACCAAATAATGAAGAGAAGTAAAATAATACAAGAAACATTTGTGTGACAATTGTGAGACTGGAAAATAGATTTGTTCAAACCGACCTCTCCACTCCAGGCCGAGAGGGGACCCAAAAAATGTATCGGCTGACTCAATACAAAAGTATTGCCGAGCTATGGTATCTTTCACCTTTCCATTTTATTTTCTAATTACTACAAGTCAACAACCTAGTTGAATCACGCAAAAGTAGTGTCTATGGAGGGTGTGTGTACTGACACCTTACCCCTACTCTAAACTAGAGATGTAGTTTCCAAAGAGACCTTTGGCTCAATTACTGAACTTTTACACTTAGTCATAGCATTGATCTTAAAGAGTTCTGTATGTGGAATTTAATTTTATTAGTTACGTTTTATGTTTCAAAATGAGAAGAAAATGAAAAGGAAGAAATATGAAAGTTCAGACAACAATGTATCTTTTACACTTCTGCTGCGATTCTTTTTTGCCAACTTATGATGACCATGCTCAACTCTAACAAAATTTGGGCCGGTTTTTCTGGACAGTTGGTGCAACCATTGGGTTCTCTTATTAATTGGTGTTTATTTTGTTAGCTATGTTTTGAGTTTCACAGAGAGGAGTGAAACAACATTGCAAATATTTGATATATCGACCCAATGTGAAAGAAATGTTTGTTCTACAATATATGTGTTAAAATCTCTTTTGACATCATACCAATTGGTATTTATTCTGTGATAATATTTATTTATTTTGTTTTTTGCCACATTTGGTTAAGGTGGTAATATCCAACTTTCTATAATCTCTCCCATTTGCAACTACATGTTGGGAATTAAGCACACAACACACAAATAATCTGTGAGAAACGGAACACAGACGACACACAAGAATTTAACGTGGTTCGGTTTCCCTACTCCACGACTGCAACAAGAGGATTTCTATTTCACTTGTCGTATCTCACCGAATTACAAGTACAAGGACTCAGTATATAGGAGAAAAGAAACTAGGGTTACGTAATATGGGCCAGGCCTAAGAGTCAAGCCCAAGCCTCCACAAACCCAACATTCTCCCACTTGAAGGCTTGATAATCATCAACTGCCATCCACCACGATTGCCTGTACATATAGTAATCTTCCTCAACTCTCCTGTTGCAGCGGCCCTATCATCAGACAACTGAAAGGCCCGTTAAAGCTCTCCCAAGCTTCAACACATCAGTCACGACAAAATCTGCCCCTGACTCGTCCTCGATCCCTACCGGCTCCCACTGCAAATGCACACTGCCGGACCCTAGAACATTTTGAGAACAAACACTCTCCGTACTCAACAAGAAATTTTCTAGAGATGTTCCAACAGCTAGAATACTGGTTCTCCTGACCCACTGTCTTCTAGGCAACTTGGCTGAAGTGCCTTTTGAGCTCCCACTGCCATAAATCTCTCTGACTGGCCTCCTAGAACCTTTCCTCGCTCGTTCATCTTTAGTCTGACATGTGGCTCTAGGTTTCTCTCTTGCATAGAAAACCTTATTCTGCCCACGAGACCTTGTGAACCGGACTTTGTTTCTCTTCTGAACTGGGACGGTCACTCCCTCAGATGGTAACTCGACCATATACAACGAACCACTCTTCCTTCCGCGAGCCATGACAAGATTTCTCTTTACGACCTAAAACTGCCCGTTTCCGAACTTCACCTCGTGCCCCTGTTCGTCCAATTGCCTGACAGAAATCAAACTTTTCTTCAAGGCTGGAACAACTCTGACATCCTTCAAAGTCCAGAAACTGACTAGGGTCTTCAGCACTATGTCACCCATGCCCGTCACATCAAGAGCTCTATCGTCTGCAAGTCGTACCTTTCCAAAGTCCCCAAGAACCAGATTCTGCAATGCTTTACCGATGTGGGTGGCATGAAATGAAGCACCAGAATCCATGACCCAAAAATCCACATTGCTTTCCTCACAGTAAGTCAGAGTGACCTCTTCGTCACTCGCAGAGCCTTTAGCAATGTTCACTTTATTATCATTCGGACATTGATTCCTAAAATGCCCCACCTCCTTGCACTTCCAGCACGTTACACCTAAGTTATCTCGAATCTTGGACTGACTCCTTTGTCTGTTCCTGCTCCCACTACCTCTACTATTTCTTCTGCCACTACCAACATGAAACAATTCACCAGATGACTCCCCTGAACTCTTTCTTCTAACATCCTTTCCAAGAACGAGATCTCGAATCCGATCAAAGGTGAATCCATCGGGTCCCACTGAACCAGTAACCGTTGTAACCGTTCCAGACCAACTATCAGGTAAAGACGATAGCAGTAGCAAAGCTTGAACTTTATCATCGAACTTAATACCCACTGACAAAGTCTGGCTAAGATCGAATTCAACTTGTTGATATGCTCGGTAACTGAAGTGTCTTCTTTCATCCTTGTGTTCACTAGCTCTCTGATCAGAAAAAATTTGTTCGCTACAGATGGCTTCTCGTACATGTTAGACAGCACTTCCATAATTTCCTTCGTTGTCTTCTCCTTCAGAATGTTGAACGCAACATTCTTGGTCAACGAGAGACAGATTACGGACATAACTTTCCGATCCAAACCTGTCCAATTTGCATCTGACATCTTTTCTAGTTTGTCACCCAATACCACGTCCAAATCTTTCTGAACTAGCAAATCTTCAATTTGCATTTTCTACCAACTGAAATCCGTACCATCTAACTTTTCAATTCGGAACTTCCCATCTTCTGCCATCTCAAAACGACTAGACGAGATACCCGGTACAACTAATTTCAGATCTTGGTAATTTCGTCAGAAAACTCAGCCCAAAAACTAAATCAGC